TAGAAAATAAATAAATATTCACTTAAGATTAATTACTTACTATTTAAAGGTTTGTTACCATGGTGATACATGAATGTTAGTTGAGTTAAACAATTTTCAATTAGAATGATTCGTTTATTTATTGTAAATTAACCGATTGAAAACAGAGGGAAAAAATGGTTGGTGAATTTTAACTATTAGATTCGATTACCTAGAACAATTGTAAATGTGTAATGAAGATAAAGAATTCCATGATAGAATGAAACAATTATCTAATTTGTCTTGGTTTAAATTATCAATGGTGTTAATGTTTAACTTCAACTAATACGGTATATTGTATGAGCATCATCTATTTTCTTTGGTGGATTGAAGTTAGACATTAACATAGTTAAATGCCGACTCAGTCGTCTAGAGGTGATGACCTAAGGTCCTGGGTCCGAATTCCGCATACGAGATCATGGATGTACACTGTTGACTAGTCCCATACAAGGACGAAATGGCCATTCAGTGTTTTCAGGTATTCAATGGTGGTTTAACTTAGATCGGTTCATGATCTCAATCAAAACTTAACAATCTCTGCAACCATATACTTAAAGTAATTGTCTTATGAGTATCAACCAGTATTGATCAGTTTGCAAAAAAATTAAAACGATATTTTATTCTTTCTTACACTGGATTCAGATAAGAGTTAATTGAATTTGTTCTTTGAAGCTATTAACGAAATTGTAAAGATTTAAATTTTATTGAACTAAAAGAAATTCATTTAAATCAGTGTATGATTACGGTTTTTTAACTCTGCCTGTAGCAATTCTAGGGCTATTTCCAGTCCCAAGCCCACACGAAGGAGGAGGGTCGAATGTGGGGTCGGCAACCCAATCCCGTAGAAAACAAACTTGCTAAGAAGACGCCAACCAGAATAAATGAATTAAACCAGGTAAACTCTGCCTTAGGAGTTGAAGGAAGAATTATGACGCCTCATGGTGAAAGCCAAGATTCTTCGGAAGTCACGAAGACGACGCTTCTTTTAACAACTAAAGCAACAATTTTTATGGGTATATGGAACGTCCGGACAATATGGGAAACTGGGAAGACCAATTAAATAGCAACGGAAACGAGGAGATACAACTTGACGGTCCTCAGAATCGGTGAAACCGACTGGACACACGCTGGACAGCACAGGTTAGGTACGGAGGAAGAAGAAACTGCTTCACACACGCAGGGAATTGCTCCGACACTGTCCGAAGAAGCACGTAATACACTTGTAGGATCAGAATCCCGTGGATCCTTGATCATCAAAGCATCATTCAAAACAAAGAATCAGGGAATCGCGATGAATGTTATACAATGTTGTGCACTCACCAATGATAGCAATGACGACAATAAAGATCAATCCTATGAGAGGCTGCAATCGACCATATCGAAGTTTCCATTTAAGGATCTGACAATTTTAATACGAGATTTAAACGCCAAAGCCGTAATGGACAACAACGGTTATGAAGATATCATGGGACGATATGGAGTGGGAGAGAAAAACGTAAACGGGGAGAGATTTGCAAACCTATATGCGATCAACAAAATGGTTATAGGTAACACAATATTCGACCTCGCATAAACGCATAAACAAAGCTACATGGGTCTCACCGGACCATACCACGGAGAACCGGATAGATCATATTTGCATCATTAAAAAATCCACACGGTTAATGGAATACGTGAAAACCAGGAGAGGAGCTAAAATGGATTCACATCATCACCTAGTGGTTGTCAAGATGAAATCGAAGCTAACGAAACACTGGAAAATTGTGGAGACAGCATCATAAAGGTTCAATACAGCCCTCTTTTCACATACTGACAAACTCAACGAATTCAAGATAGTTCTCAGCAACAGGTTTCAAGGATTACAAGATCTACTGAAAGAAGAAGAATTTACTGTGAAAGACAATTAGAAAGAGATCAAAGAAGGACCAACTTCAACATGTCAGGAGGTGCTGGGCCACAATAAACATCATCATAAGGAATGGATCTCTATCGAAACTCTAGAAAAGATTGAAGAAAGGGTGAACAAGTAGACAGCAATTAACAACAGCCTAACAAGAACAGAGAAAGTCAAGGCACAAGCTGAATACACTGAAGCAAACAAGCACGTGAAGAGGAGCGTTAGAACTGACAAGCAGAAATACGTGGAAGGTCAAGCAATGGCAGCGGAAAAAGCTGCAAGAAAAGTAGATATGAAACAACTATATGACACGACGAAGAAACAGTTAGGGTATTATAGTAAACCAGAGAGATCGGTCAAGGACAAAAAAGATAAACCAATCACTGCAATTCAAGGACAGACGAACAGATGGGTGGAACATTGTGAGGAACTCTTGAATATGCCAGCTCCATTGAATACAACGGACATTGAAGCAGCACACACAGACCTTCCTATAGATATAACTTCACCAACGATCGAAAAAATCAGCATGGCCGGTAATTAGACAAATCAAGAGATGGGAAAGCAGCACGACCTGATAATATACCAGCTGAAGCACTGGATTTACACATAGGAGCAACTGCAAATATGCTCCGCATTCTATTCAGGAATATTTAGGAGGATGAACTAGTCCCACGGACAGACTGGAAAGAAGGATACCTCATCACGATACTAAAGGAAGAAAGTCTGAGCAAGTGTGAGAACTACAAAGGAATCACACTATTGTCGGTACCAGGAAATGTTTTCAACAGAGTGTTGATCAGCAAGATGAAAGACTCAGTATACGCCCAAATTCAAGACCAAACAGGTCGGATCCCATAAAGATCGGTCGAGCGCAAAACAAATCGCGACACTACGGATCATCGTTGAACAATCAATTGAGTGGAACTCGTCAATATTGTGATTGTCAAATAATCAGAAGATACAAGCTAAAATCAAATATGAGTAACGATATGATTATCTAACTTAAGACTAGTAAGTATCAGACAACTATTTCCTGTTAATATGCGAATCCTCATACGTCACATATTAGTGAGTTATAATGTCACCTTAGTTGTATCAATCGATTATTCACTGAATTTTTCTCATAGACTATATTTGTTAGGTTAGTCTCTGACTATGTCATTCATTAATCATATTCTTAGAAGTTGATAAATTAAATCTATGTCACCCCCTGAAAGTGAAACTTTTAGAAATTTTCTAGTTTTCGTAGATTTACATAAACGACAAAATGTTGATATTGACTTAGTTGAATATGTGTATGCAATTATTTATATGTACTAATAACTGATGACAACTTGTATAAGTTTTAACGTAGCTAATTTCATCCATTAAAAAAATTTGGAAGACTTTGCAATGAATGGTCAACTGAGAAATATCAAAACAATTGACGGAGCCTTTGAGAACAACAAGCTTTCTTTTAAATTGTCATAGATATCCACTGAAAATTAAATAGCATTGGATAAGTTTTCAAATTCATTTCCGATCCCAAATTTCTAATGAGAAGCCATGACCAGTGGAGTTTCTCTTTGTCCGACGTAAAGCTGTTACTTACTGGAAACAATGAATGATAGTTGCATAAAATCACGGTTTGATTGAACTTAGACTTGTACACCATTGTGTCCTGGTTCAATGGTCAGAAGTCTCAATGTTTGGGTAGTAGGTTAAGTCCCCAGTTACATGGTCGTAGATACGCACTGCTCAGTTATGAAATGACTCTCCAACGTTTTCATGTTTTCAGTGATTGTGTAAATTAGATCTGTTCGTGATCTCAAGAAAGTTCACTATGGGTTAGTAAACACACTTATACATACCTGGGCGCATACACACACACACACCTGACATATACACACCTGATATCAAGCAACTCAGTATTATAACAAAAGAATAATATTGTTATAACTATTCAGTGGAAAGTTTTTATAATAAAATGTATTGAAAATTATGAAGTAAACGTGGTGAATAGTGAAAATTGAAAGAAAATGAGTAAATTTTGACAACTTCCGGCCAGTTGCTAATGTGCGACAGTGGATTTTATACAGTTTACATTTATATATATATATATATATATATATATATATATATATATATATATATATATAAGTCATTGTTTGCAATCTATACATTTCTGCCAATATTGCTCAGTAATTCATCTGTTGTTTACATTATTCACAAAGGAAGTCAGTGTACCGGAATTGGAAAGAAAGGGTTATTATTATTATTATCATTATTATTACTATTATTATTATTATCACTTTTATTCATTATCTTTAATTTTTATCACTGTTGGGATTATCTGCCGAACAAACAATATTCTTTATTGTTTCCTTACTGAAGCAATTCATAGGTTGTCAAATTATTTGTACAAACACACAAACACACACAAGCACTCATGCATGCACATACATAGACACAATTACATGTATACATAAATGTACACATACACATACAATACTCAAAAAAGAAATATTTTACAACCTTATTTCCTAAATAAAATATATATTATTATTTTACAAACTTTGTAAAGTTAGGAAAAAAGTTTTATTTGTATTTCCTGTGTCCAATAAGCTGATTTAGTGTGATATATATATGAGAAGCCGTGACCAGTGGAGCTCTACTGTGTCGGACGTGAGGCGGTTACCCACCGGAAACAATGAATGATAGTTGCATTATATATATGTATATATATCTTGGTTTTCAACTTAGTAAGGATTTTAACAGTTGAATTCATGAGTCGATCCAAGCTAGACCACCAGTGAAAACCTGAAAGTACTGGACAGCTGTTTCGTCCTAGTATGGGACTCTTCAATAGTGCACATCTACGATGAATTCAATTATTAAAACAATCACAATCTCCACAAACTCCCATTTGATTATTATTAGTAATGATTATCGCCTAGATAGATTTCGTGAAGTTTTGGAAGTGTATCTTCACTTGTTAACTCAACTATTTTAAGATGGTAAAACATTGATGATGATGATGATGATGTTACAAAAGATGATGATAACTATCAGTGTGTCAATTGTATCATGTTAATCACTTTCTTTATGATGATGATGATGATGATGATGATGATGATGATGATGATGATGATGATGATGATGATGATGATGATGATGATGATGATGATGATGATGATGATGATGATGATGATGATGATGATGCTGATGATGATGATGATGATGATGATGATGATGATGATGATGATGATGATGATGATGATGTGATGATGCTGATGCTGATGATGATGATGATGATGATGATGATGATGATGATGATGTGATGATGATGATGATGATGATGATGATGATGATGATGATGATGATGATGATGATGATGATGATGATGATGATGATGATGATGATGATGATGATGATGATGATGATGATGATGATGATGATGATGATGATGATGATGATGATGATGATGATGATGATGATGATGATGATGATGATGATGATGGATGATGATAATGATGATGATGATGATGATGATGATGATGATGATGATGATGCTGATGATGATGATGATGATGATGATGATGATGATGATGATGATGATGATGATGATGATGATGATGATGATGATGATGATGATGATGATGATGATGAAGATTAATAGTATGATTCAGTGTGGATTAGTATGTGTGTGACATTCTACATAATATTTCGTCATAGGGTAAACTACTTTTTGCATAAAAGATATACCTGAAGAAAAGAATATTAATGATAATCATGTTGCATTGGGATAATTAATTGTAAATGCAAGACTGGGAATAATGAAACTAGTTGTAAATTAAAAAATAACCACAACATTTCCATGACCATGTGTGGAAATTCATAATCAACATTTTTAGAACATTTTTTAAAAAACTGATTAGACAAAAGATTGGATGGGAAGTCATGGTAGGCGGTCTATGCTACTCCACGAGGAGTAACAGACGTAAGTAAATAAAATAAAAGACATTTAAAATCATATTAGATTTGTCAAAATCTTTGTGACATTCCACTTGTGAGTTTAATCTGACCTTCTTTATTAATCATTCCTCGTAATTTTTTTTAAAAAGTCAGTCTCAATAACAACAACATCTACCCACCATGTTCTTCTATCTAAACTATTGGATTGGTTAAATTCACTTGGTGTTGCTTACTTGTATCTTCCCATTGATGTTTAAGACTGCAACTGATCAGTCTCATGTTAGCACATGTGCATCCTGTGCAGATTGCCTCGATATAGCTTGTGGCTTAAGACATTATTCAGGCAACTCCTTCTGATAATATTTATGTGTTCAAATAAATAATAATTTGAATTGGTTGTTTGGATCTTTCCTTTAATAACTGAGTTAGTAATTGATCAGTCCTTGTTTGGCGTGATTTTAGAAATATATTTCACTGGTTATCATTCCAGTAGTTTAATGGTTAAGGAAAATATTAGGACGGTTTATACCACGGCGAAATACCTATTCATTACTTGTTATTTTCAACTGGTACCTAAACTGAATTAATCTCTATGGGACCTTTATACTAAACTGTTTTTTTTTATTGTACTTACTTACGCCTGTTCCTAATTTCCTCTTCAGATGAAAGCTGGTTTGTTCTCTCCCACAATAGGCTGTTACTGATGGTATCCGGCCAATGTATGTTGAGTATCTTGCGAAGACAACTATTTATAAATAATAGTACTTTCTTGATGATGGTTGTAGTACTTCTCCAAGTTTCAGCTCCATACAGTAGGACCGTCTTGACGTTCGTATTAAAGATTCTGACTTTGATATTGGTTAAAAGTTGTTTTGAATTCCATATGTTCTTCAATTATAGGAATGCCTTGCCTTGCCAATCCTCGCCTTTACGTCTGTATCCGATCCTGTAGGTTGGTTATAAATATAATTTTTATACAGTTATTGATCATCAGTATATGACATTAAAAGTTTGCATAAATCCATAGTTTTAATTAATTTTCATCATTATTTAAAATGAAACTGGTCAACATTGAATAACTGTAAACAATTTAGGTGAATGAATAATAAGATTCCCACCTATACACATACATACATCATATATACATGTACATTTACATGTACAAACATACACCGACAAGTTAGATTAATCAGACAATTTCATATAAGTTCAGAAAATACAACCAGTTTACAAGTGATCATATTGTCTTTAATTCCGGTTTGTTTGACATTTCATTAATCAGTGTCATCTATACTAAGGGTATATAGATATATACAGATTGCTTGTAACACAGAAATGATCTAGTTCATAAGTCAAATAGTTAAGTGTTTTGACTTATTCTATGAAATACATCATTTTGAAATTTACTTCAATACAGTATTGATTATCACTTTGTAAGTGTTACATAGTGCATGTAATTCGGCATCAATTTCATATTTATTAATCTTGATATTCATGCCGGCTCAGTGGTCTAAAGGTTAGGCGTTCCACAAAAACCCCTTTCTGATATTAATACATACATTCAAACCATATTACATATAAATAATGATAATATTAATAATCGACTCAACAACATTAACACCATTGGATGGGCATTCAATGGTCTATGGGTGGAGCCTTCGCGTGTGCGACAGAAGGTCGTGGGTTCGAGTCCTACATGCGGGACCATGAATGTACGCTGCCTAGGAGTCCCATAATCAAACGAAACGGCTGTTTACTGCTTTCAGGTTTACAGTGTTGGTCTAACATTGATTGATTCATGATCTCAGTCCAAAACAAGATGAAAAATAAAGTTCAGACATGTTACTATCTTTAATTAATAATTGTCAACTAATAAATGCCAACCCATTGGTCTAATTGTTAAATTTTCATCTCGAGATGTTGATGTTATAGATTCAAGTTGAGACACGATTCTAATTGTGTATATCTGTGAATTCAAATATTAGAAGAAAACGGCTTTCCAACTTAATGACACTTCAAATATGATCAATTTTGATATGAATACTACCTATAAATCAGAATATTATTAACTAGAATCATTTTGGTGGTAAGTACAGTACTGTACATACCAAAATCATCCACCTGAGCTACAAATCTTCTCCACTATCTCATAACTAGAATCATATAATGTTCATAATTTTCTAGCTTTCTAAGAATATTTGTGAACTATCCTAATGATAAGTTGTGATCTATGAAGTTAACTATGTTGATAATTAAACACTAACTCATAACAATAAATAAGTACTATTCTAGAACATAAACAGCATTAAGTTGTCAATTTAACTCACTAACTCAATCATGTTATGTATGACAAAAGACTTAAATGTGTTAGAATTAAACTTGGTGTATACATTATTATTGAATCGTCGAAATATGTATAACCACTTTTCAATGAGTTACAACAATTTTCCAGTTACTAGCCAGATATGGCATTGATTATTACTCAATGATCAATCAGCATAAAAATTTCTGCACCACAAATAGCTTTATTATAACGTAACATTAAATGATGTGTACTTGGCTAGTCACGGAGACTATAAGTTCATTTACTGTTAGGTAACGAGCGCTAAATAGACTGAAACATATTGATTCCTTTATTTCACGATAAAAACTGTTCGCATTATTATTGTCATCGTTAAAAATCATAACCAGCGATTCATTGACATACATATATCTGAAGGGTTTTTGTGGATATTATAGTAATTTCAATAGTTAAGATCATGAGTCCATCGAAGTTAGACCACCATAGAAAACCTGGAAGCACTGAACGGCGGTTTCATCTTATTGTAGGACTCATCAGTTGTCTAGTGGTCAGGCGCTCGCGCACGAGACTGGTAGGTCCTGGGTTCGAAGCTCGTGAGTCGGGATCGTGGACACACACTGCTGAGGAGTCCCACAATATGACGAAACGGCCGTCCAGTGCTTCCAAATTTCCATGGTGGTCTAGCTTCGATGGAATCATGATCTCAACTATTGAAATATATATACATATATATCTAATGAAAACACCAGATCTAATGAAGCCCTATTTACTTCCAAGGATGATAATATTTAATGAATGAAGTTTAAGTTCAAAATACATCGGAAAAATTTCCGTTTCACTAATCATAGATATTAAGTAAGAGTCTACATTAATTCTATTCTCAATAAGTCTTGTCTTCATAACACTTGCAATATATTCTCATGTAAATACACAAATATATATTCATACTCTTGGCTAGAATAATCATAGATAATGTATATGTAATTACTAACTATTGTATTACATACATGCATACATAGATAATCCTTAGCTAATCGGAAAACTCTGTTTCATGTAGATAAATAATAATAAGAGGTTTAAATAAATCATTCGTAAACAAATGATAATACTGATTTCAATATTTCACAATCTAAATATATTTTAAAAAAATCAACAAGGAATACATGAAGTAATTCTTCATTTCTACTCAGTACATTCACATATACTGAAAGTTTCAGTCATTTATTGTTAATCATCCTAGTGGTATGGAATAGGTATCTAATCTGTATTAATCTTGACTGATTTTCTTTTTTTTTGTTTTTTATACTTCCAGGGATCAAAATCAACCACCCGCCTTTAGTCGATGCGTACACTCCACACACACACGCACACATACATTCATATAAGCGAAATGATATCGAGAAATCTAAGAAAAATATAAACAAACAAAGCAAATCTTACTTTTCTTTTTATTTCATTCGTAAAATGGTACATAGAAAAGTAGTGAGTAGTGAGATAATAGGCGGGACTTGGAAGTTAAAGAAAAAAAGGATTAAATATATGTATATTTTTTAAATATAAGTTGAAAATTGTACAGGATTAAAGAGATCATATTAGAGTTTTCACTATTGATACTACATATCATTCCGTTACAAAATCATAAATTCAAACATATAATCAAGAAATAATAAATAGGCTAACTGAGATTAGATGGTGGTTGGAGGTAGTCGACAGGAAACCCTGGACCCGGGTTTCGTGCTACTTGGCACACGTCAGCAAGGTGTACCTGTAATCTTGAGGGAACTGATGCTCCTTGACGGACTCGATCCCGTGTCACCTATTTTCACAGTCAGAGACGTTACCACTGAGCTATCCGAGCCGCGACTGACCTCCTGTAGGACTGAGATGTAATCACAACTGATTGATCACTGGGTGGCTAACTTCTTCATTTTTTTCTTTCAATCGTTCAACTTAAAATTTCTCCGGCTAATTTCATTTCATGCTACGGTAAATCATTTAAGCACATTTAATATTCTACAACCTCATACCGATAATTATCATGTGCTCACTAGTGACTAGCTTCATGAAGGAATTCTCGGAGTTTTAGTGAGTAGCCGTGACCAGTGGAGTCCGAACTATGTCGGGTGTGAGGTAGTTACTGATCGAAGACAATCACAGATGGTTGTGAAATATCATGGATTGATTGATGAAAGACATTAACACTGTCGGATGTCGGCTCGGTGGTCTACAGGTTAAGCGTTCACGCGCCAGCTCAAAAGTCGTGGGTTCGAGTTCCACATGAGGGGGCGTGGCTGTGCACTGCTGAGGAGTACCATACTCGAACAAAACGGTCTTCCAGTTTTTCCAGACTTTTAATGACGGCCTTACATCGATCAATCCATGATCTCGATCAAAACTTGGCAATCTCCACAACTCCATACTGATTATTTTATTATATTTATCTTGTTGTAATTTGTGTCTATATGTAGGCATATATATTTAGATATGGATATATATTTACGTAATTAACAAATGTACTCATTTTGAATGCATGGAGAATTTGAGAATGTTGACTATTTTTGTTATATAATCATATTCATTGTAATGAATGTTGGATTAATATCGTTTTATTTACCATCTAATAATGTTTTTAATTAAAATGAATAATTATTAGAAATTATCAGTATGGGGTTGTGGAGATTATTAAGTTTTTGATTGAGATCATGAACTAATTGATGTGAGACCACCGTTGAAAACCTAGAAGCACTGAATGGCCATTTCATTCTATTGTGGGACTCCTCATCAGTGCACATCCACAGTCCTGCTCGCGGGATTCGAACTCAGGGCCTTCAGTCTCGCGCACAAACGCTCAACCTCTTGACCACTGAGCCGGTATCCAACGGTGTTAATGTCTAACTTCAACTGTTAAGAGCTTAAGATCAATGAATTTAACTCAAGGATTGAACACAAATGAAATTCATATAGCAATTTTCTGTCTAATCAACCGATGTCATTATAGTTCGCAAAATGTTAAATGGGATAAGACACACATAAGTTGACTCTGAAGAAGATGATAATGATTAGGAGGAGAAGGAGGAGAAGGAGGAGGAGGAGTATGGTGATATAACTAATCATATAGGATTTACATGATTATTATTGTAAATATAAGTATTATCTGTGTTTTATTTGGAAATATACATACATATGTATAATGTGCACATGTTTTTCCACGTGTCATTTGACATTTAACTAATTGCTCATTTGTTTCATTATTTATCAGTTTTCTTTTCTAGAGAAAGAGAGAAAAAAAAGAGTTAAATATTCAATGTGAACTATACATAAAATAAAATTATCATGATACCCTTGTTTTGTAATGGTAATCGTTAATTTTAAACGAAGGAGGGGGAAAGTGACACAGAGAGAGAGAAAGAGAGGAACGAGAGCAAATAAAATAGCTGAACATATCGTGAATAATGATAATGACGATGGTAAGGGTAATAGGGATTGTGATGGTGGAGGTAGCGTTGATCGTTTTGATGAGTTTCTTTTTTTTTTTAATTTCTTATGTTCAAACTTCTCTTGTATTCTTGTTATTACTTTTTATGTACATATCCATTTTTCTTCAAAGTTAATCATCTATTTTTCAGTTCTCCTTGTTTTGTTTTTTGTTCGGAGGGAAGGTGGTATTCCCTGGGTTTTTTTTAGTCAACAGAACTTTATGACTTGAGAAAATAAAAGGAAGAAATTAATGAAACAGTAAGTTGGTTTATCCCCTGTTATCGTTTTTCTTCTTGTTGTTATTGTTGTTCTTTCTCTAATGACTTTTTATATTCGAAGTGTCTGTGTAGATATAGAGAGATAGATATATGGATAAATAGATAAGGAGATAGATATGATAGGCCATATAAACGTACGTGCCTGAGTTCTATGTATATATATATATATATATATATATAAAGTGTGATTTATAGGGGGAAGACACATGTTAGTTCATTTATATCTGTATATATATATGTGAATGTATATGTGTATATATGAGATTGTTTATAAGGAAACAGGCAAAAGGTATATGTAATATATCATAGATGAAATATTAACAATGTAAAGAAATTTATCATGAAATATTCAATTGAGTATAAAAGAAAAATAAATTCTATATACATAAGTGTACATAGACAAGATGAAAAAGTTAAACATCTGGTCGAATGTATTGGCATCACAATTTGTCCCATTTAAGGATATCATTCATATAAATTGACAGTTATCTTCCTAATATAACACATAAATAACTACGTATACACATACGTGCGCTCTCTCTCTCACACACACACGAACACACACACACCTACGCACAATCACTAGACATCAACGTATGCGGACACACATCATTCATTGATGTATATATATAAATGATTTACACTAAAAATATGTGGGGGAAATAAATATTCAGAACGTGCTCCAATATTTACTCAATTGCCCTCTCTCTCTCTCACTCACACACACACACATACTCTTTCTATCCACCTTAGATGATTCGAAATATTCGATTACAATTTAATGTTAACTTTTTAAATTTGTGGTACCATGGGATCTTGGAAGAATTGATGAATGATAAATTACGTATGTAGTTTCCAAATGATCATTTTCAAACAATGAGCGCTATGTAATTTTAATTTATTTAAATTAATGGTACGAGTTAGTTGAAGTGAAGAGTTCTGGAGTGAATATCAACTCTAGGATGCAGGTACATCTAACTGACGAGTTCCAAACAAGACAAAATGCGTGTCCTGAATTCTACTACTAGCCACTATCCATCTTTGCTTATAATACTTGTAACTTAAGGTAATATCTAGGCAATCTGAAGAGGATGCACATTCACTGATCAATTGCAGTCCTGAACCTTAAACGGAAGATTCAAACAAACAATACAAAACGAAGAATTAATCAATTCCTTTTTTCTTTAAATTTAAATTTTACTTAGAATTTATCGCATTCATTACAATGTCATGAGAGAAGTGTGTTGTTTTTGATGAAATTTGTGCTGATGATGTCGTTCAGAAGAACGATGAAAACTTCATGATCAAACCATCTAGCTCAGAGAACAAAACTCCATCAAAATCATCCACCTGAGCTACAAATCTTCTCCACCATCTCAGAAGTGCGTTATGTTTTCTTGTATCTTTCCCAATGGTTAAAAGCTTGTTACCAAGTTAGGATATACAAACTATTTAAAAGTAAACTTTGAATATACATAAATCAATATCGATATGAACTCCATTAAATTCTTATAAGAATCTGTTATTTTGTATTTGAGAAAGGGAGATAAATTAGATGACAGTCATAGTAAGAAACGATTGAGTACTTGATTAGGTATTCAGTAACTTTGAATTCTACAGAAAAAAATACACTAATGGTGGTATATAATTGTACATCAGTGGTGGCCTGTTTGAATAGTTGGGGCTGCCTGTTCCTGCCATCTAGATATTTCAACAAGTTATCTAATTTTGTTTATGTTAATACAACATTATGGCGACTAATTGTATAACCTATTCACGTGTGTCTCTGTAAAGTGTATAACCTTTCTTTGTACAAGTTACAAAAGGTCCATTCAGAGATATCGTGGTTGCTGAAAATATGAAATGAAAACAATGTACAGATATTCAGACGTCGATTGACTGAACTGCTAATTTCTAACTGGCGATCATCACTCAATACGTTATCGTCAAGATTGACCAAGAAGTAAGAAATGGAAACTTGTTGAAATACATTGTCCTGAGAATTCTATATTCCACCAAAAATATAACATTGAACGAGGCCATTAATAATAATAGTAATAATAATAATGCTTCACGATTTCTCTATAGAAAATATGTTAGTTTGGCATGAAATATGAGATCATATCTGGATTCAGTGTGATATTGATTCACTATAACATTCTTTCGTGAGCGGTATTCGCTCAGTAAAACATACAGTGTCTGCTTTGTAATAATTCAGTGAAAATATTCATTCCTTGATTGTCGCTATTTTCAGTTGCTAAGGCGAGTTAGATGTCCAGTGCTACCCAGTTCTCAATAGTCATTATATTTAGATCGATTCTATAATTCAATTATATTCACCAACCTCTAAAACCCCTCACTTATAGTTCAATGTGATAGGCAATGTATTGCATTACTTTCATAACTCTGCTTGTGTGGATACATTCTAATGTATTCTCATCTCGTTCTACCAGAAGATATAGAAGGAGAAATATATGAATGAATGAAGAGGGTAGTTAGTATCTGATAAGATAACACTTTTCAGGAATTTGCAAGATTTTAAATGTCTATCCACAACTATATTCATAACGACTTCAAAACATTCACCACACACACATACACCTTGTTAACCACCTTCAACACTGTTCTCGATGCAGGAAAATCTCTTTTCAAAAGTCCAGGAACAAATGTTGTAGAACAGTTAGGAATAGTGTGTAATATACAAGCATTTATTGATCGTAAATGTCGAGTAGTGCCGAAAACATGGAGCCTCTTTATATAAAAAGTTAAATGGAAAAATTCGTCTGATATCAGTAAAACATGAGAAAACCAAGAGAGATCTGAAGAGAGACTTACACCAAGATCAATAACCTTTGACATTGTTTTCATAATAGAATCTCCAATAGTATAAACGTTATGGGATTCAAACGGAGTTTTATAGTATCCTATCCTTTACGAGGATAAGACGTTTTCAACAGTGCGATTATACTCCATTTATTTGACAGTGTGACCACTGTCGTAGTGTTGATTTATCAAAATCTTTCAATATAATTCTTGAACAAAGAATATTGAATTTACATTTGTTTATTGAAGTAATTGATCAAATTTATGTATCCAAAATGATTCACTTATCCATCGTGTTTTCCCTGAAGTGATCTTATTCATAAACGTTTGTTACTTAATTATTTTTTTCATAACATTAATTATTAATCTTCACTTCTTATCAGATCAATACTCAGTTAGTCAATTGTATTTTACGAGTTCTACCCTTAATTTTTTAATTTTAGGATATACTTATATTCAACTCATAAATAGTCATATTACATCTGTTATGATTCTTCTATACTGGACAGTTAGTTCATCTTAGTATGAGACGTTTCAACAGTCCGAATACAAAACTGTTTAGAACCGAACCTAGGACCTACTATTTCGCACATGACTACTTAACAATCAAACCACTGAGTCAGTCTAATTTCAATCCATCTACGATATTTGTTGTCTAACTTAAATTACTTTGTGATATTAGCTAAACTTAACGATCTTAACAGCGCCATTATTGACAATACAAACCGTGACCAATGGAGCTAATCCTTCTCGGGTAGAGATAGGTATCTACCTCAGTACAATGGAAGATGGTTGATGTTACACAATTACACCATTGGATGCCGGCTCAGTAGTCCAGTAGGTTAAACGTTCGCACGCGAGACTGAAGGTCCCGAGTTCGAATCCCGCGAGTGGAATAGTGGATGCGCACTGGTGAATAGTCCCACAATAAGATGAAACGGCTGTCCAGTGCTTCCAGGTTTTCCACGGTGGTCTAACATCAATTGGTTCATGATCTCAATCAAAAACTTAATAATCTCCACAACCCTATACTGATAACAAGCCATTTAGAAACAAAAATGGATAAGTAAAGAAATGAATTCATATTTCAAATCAAAAAGTTTTCGTTTTCAAATCAATAATACGTGTGCGTGTGTATATGCGTGTGTAAATGATCATCCGATAAATTAACCATCAAGTACAAACAGATTTGCCATGGTTATTGTTTTTCGCTTCTTTTTTAACGGTTTTAAAAAAGAAAATGAAACGTATTCATACTAAATACGTTTTATTTTTTTACTATTTTCTTTGTAATTCTGTCATTACCATAGCATATTGTCTTAAGCAATTCAACGAATGATAAATACGTCATTAGAATCATGAAAGAATAGCAGTACATAGAAGAGGAACAATAATCATAAGACATTAGTAATAATACATGTATAACCATGGTGTCAATGGCAACAGTAGAACTATGCATGAATCAGTGCTTAAAGATTATGAGACAGTTTAATCGTAATGTGAGTTTGAAAGTAGGTTGTGTTTTTTTGTTGTTGTTACAGACTAATATTCTTTAATAGAGATAAACATTGAAAATTAGATAAAATATGAAAGGGACTAGTATTTTGTATTGATGTAAGACTATATCAAACTAAAAAATAGAATTTGTTGAAATTAGGCATTAACAATATTGGATGCCGATCGGCTTAGT